CCACACGGAGCCTAAATAACGGCGCTCTTCCCCCCCTGGAAGGAGGCGCGGGGCCTGGCCAGCAGCAGCTCCTTCTCGTGCACCAGGCAGTCCAGCAGGTCCTCTTGGCGGTAGTTATGGTAGACCTTCAGGAAGGCCAGGGTCGTGATGGCCAGCCAGGCCAGCCAGGAGGCCCAGAGACTGAACTGCACAGAGGAGGGCGGCGTCAGGCTGGCGTGCCCACACACAGCCACCTCCCGCCCCCGGCCCTGAGGGACGCTGGGACATGCCACGCCTCGGGGACCCCGGACACCGTGCCTCTGCGGTGACCGTCAGGCCCAGGTCTGCGCGGAGCCAGGGAAGCCGGCCACCCTCGTCCCAGGCCGATGGGGTCTCCCCCTCCCAGAACCAGGCTGCCTCGGCCCTAAAGAGAGCCTGTAAATCAAGGGCGCCTCCAGCCAGTGGAATAATTTGACCTTTATCTGCTATTTCCAAACAGTTGAAGGGGAGAGGACTTAATCAGCTCTGGGCCTGCACCATGTCAGCCTGATTCCCACTGAGCGTGTGCGTGCTCAGACCCCCCCTGCCCCCCACCTAATCGGCACAAATCAGGTCTGATGCGTCTTCCACCGAATTTGCATGAAGGTGTCTTTGACCATTTCAGCTCAGCTCAGCGGAGAACCTGCAGCCCGCCCTCCTCAGGCCTGGTGCTTCCCCCACGCACACTGCCAGCTGACACTGGACCAGAGGCCAGGCCAGGCCAGAGACCACGGGCCCCAGGCAGAGGCCAGGCCAGGCCAGAGACCACGGGCCCCAGGCAGAGGCCAGGCCAGGCCAGAGACCACGGGCCCCAGGCAGAGGCCAGGCCAGGCCAGAGACCACGGGCCCCAGAGGCCAGGCCAGGCCCAGAGACCACGGGCCCCAGGCAGAGGCCAGGCCAGGCCAGAGACCACGGGCCCCAGGCAGAGGCCAGGCCAGGCCAGAGACCACGGGCCCCAGGCAGAGGCCAGGCCAGGCCAGAGACCACGGGCCCCAGGCAGAGGGGGAGGGCTGTGCTTCCATGCTCTGCCGGCCGGTGCCCAACCCTGCAACACCTGTGCCAGGGCGCAGACGCAGGCTCCGGGCACAGGGAACGCTAGGTTTCAGCTCAGGGCCTCACTGACCACGAGTGTGCCTCCAACAAGCCTGCATGGACACCGCGTGGAGCCCCAGCCTTCTGGAGGGGGCGCCGGAGGGCAGAGGGGTGCCGGGAGGGAGGGCAGGGTCCTCCAGGTATGCAGCCGGTCCTCGGACACCACACGTACCCTTGGCTCAGGGCAGCGGGCAGCCGGCAGGCCTCTGAAGGGCCCCTCTTGGCCCCAGGGCAGAATCCGAGCTCCCCATTGCGCTGGGTTGGCCTGGTCTGGCGCCACTTTCCCCTCCCCCACCCCAGCTACCCGGCGCCCGCCTCTCCAGGGTGTCTATCCAGCCTGCCAGTTTGTGCCCTGCCCTGTCCTGCCCACCTGCGTCTGCCTAGGAAAGTCCTGCTCCTTCTCCAGGAACCGCTTCTCACATCCTCCCCAGAGGAAGGCGCCTGGCCGCCCACGCCGGCCTCACCCAGCCTGGCCACAGGTTTCCTTGGGGGCGGTGGGAGGGGCGTCGCAGGCCATGCCCCGTGGCCGGCCCCCCACACCCCGCTCTTCCTGGCTGAACCCACCTACCTGAGCAATGGCAAACTGATGGTAGAAGGCGGAGTTGTCCACGCTCAGCTCCAAGTCCAGGTCCTGGAGCTCCTTGCAGCTGCAACAACGGGGCATGGGGGGGCCGGCAGGGCAGCTGTGAGCAGAGCCCCTCCCGCACCACACACGGCCCGGCCCCAAGGGGGACAGACAGCGAAGCCTCACAGCGTCCCCGGGGGTCAGACTGTCGGGACAGGAAGTCTGCAGAGCTGACCCAGCCTGGCACTGGAGGGCACCAGCGCTGGCCCCGGCTCCCGTGGTCACAGTCCTCAGTTCCCCTGTCCAGCGCTGGCCTGCCCAAGCTGCTCAGGGAGAGGCAGAGGAGGGAGCCATGGCCAGAACCAAGACTGGGAGGCTACTTGGGGATCGCTATTCCCAAGGGCAGAGGACTGCCCTGTCCAGTCCCACAGTCCCTGGGCTGAGACAGGCGTGAGGTCCAGCCGCACTGCTCAGTGGACCCAACCACGGACCCAGCCCGCTTCGGACCCCAGTGGGAGCTCGGGCTAAATCTAACCGCTGGGGCGAGCCTGCACAGTGTCCACACACCAGGCTGCGGGGCGGGGGCGGGGCCCAGCGACTCACACCCGTGTGTGACACACACCTGTGGGGCATGGTACCCCTTTCAGTGATGGTGTCACACCACATGGTGAAGCCCACACTCACGATGGTGCTGGCGATGAAGACCAGGACCACCACCAGGGCGCTGACCAGGAGGCTCAGGAAGGCGTAGAAGAAGGACCTGAGGCCGAGAAGACAGAGAACTACTGGGGGAGGCCCCTGGGGCCTCCTCGCCTCCAGCGGTGTCCCTGACACGGAGGGGCACAGCCCTGGAGTCAGGGCCCACGCCGGGGTTGAGCAGGGCCTCGGGCGGCTGCTGCCCCTCCACAGCTGTCCCCCGTGCCAAGACTCCAGTGCTGGCCCTGAGCTGCCTGACGGGCCCGAGCTGGAAGCTGAAGCCACCCACCACACTGTGCGGGGAGGCAGGGCCAACACACGGTGGCTGGTGTGTCCACTGAAATCGCACGCCGTCCACCCACAAGGCCATCCAGCCATGTAGTCACTGGCCTCTGTGGGCTGGACGCTGGCAGCTCCCTATGATCAAATGTGTCGTCCTCATCCAAGAAGGCAGGAGGAGAGGCCTCTGAGGGGCCGTAGGACCCGGAGTCCCCACCAGGCAGGAGCAATGGTGAGCAGGAGCCATTTGTCAACCAGGAAGGGGCCCTCAGCAGACACAGATTCTGAGGTCCAGCCTCCGGAGCCCCGCTGCCGACACACCATCTGCACTGCCCAGTGTGGGTCTGTACCCTGAGCAGACTGCCCGGAGGGCGGCCATCCACCACATGGTCCCCAAGACAGGACCTGCACTACCACCTGCTCTTTGACCCGCTCTGACTTACTCAGCCACATCTAAAAGGCCAGGCTGGGCCGGGGCTGACCGGGCCCTGGCTGACCGGAGTGGGCATCTGGAGCGTGGAGGGGAGAGGATGCGGGCCAGGCTGCACTGGCCTCCCCGGGCCCCCGACTCTCACAGGAGACACGCACCCCACAGACCACCTCACCCCAAACACCCACCTCCTCTGAAACCCTCAAAGGAACCTGGGGGTGCTGAGTCTGAGGAGCTCGCTGAGACTTTGAGGTGAGGGAGGGCAAAGCGGCTCCCTCCAGCCAATAACGCGAGACGAGCGAAGTGGCCCGGCAGAGAGCCTTCCCCGGGCACGTGACGGAGGCCGCGCTGGCCAAGGCCGGCAGAGCCCAGCTCTGTTCTCTGGTCCCGTGCGGGGCACAGAGGACAAAGGAAAGGAACGGGGGGTCTTCCAACGTGCCCGTGACACCTGCACCCGACTGACCGGGTGCCGCCGAGGCTGCTCACCACGGGCCCCCCAGCCCTCGGGCTCCTGGGCAGGCGAGCGAGGCAGGAGAGGGAGGCTGGAACCCATCCCTGAGAAAGGCAGAAGAGGCGGGGTCACAGGGCGCTCGGCTGTGTCGGGCTGCCCGGCGCCGGCAGTATCCGCGTTGGCAGTATCCGCGCCGCCCGCTGTGCTCCAGCCCCTCTGGAGCCCGTGCCCGAGGCCACTGAGATAACGCAGGAGCTGCACTTCCTAGTCTCCTACCAACCAGCCCTCCTTGATCGCCACACTGAGGGATCCCACACTCCATTCTCGATTCTAAACCCACCTTCCTACTCCAGGCTCAGAACCAGGGGCTGGAACAGTGCACCAGAGCCCCCGAGGTCCACGGAGACCCTGCCTGGCATCACCCGCCTCTGAGCCCTTGCCAGTCACATGACCTTGAGCAGGTTGGTGCCTCTCTGATCCTGTTTCTCCCTCTGTGAACTGCCGAGTCTGTGAGTAAAGGTCTCAGGCAATGGCTGCCAGTATGCCCGCGAATGCACACTTCCCCGCCCCCCACCACACCCTGGCCTGCTGCCCTGGCTCACTGGGGCCTGGGTGTGGGATAAAGGCCGGGAAGCAAAGGTGTCTGCAGTGGGGAATCACGGGAACTGAGCTGAGAGACGGCAGCGCAGGGCCGTCTGGGCGGAGCAGGCAGGGGCTGGGGGCAGGAGGGGCGGGCCAGGAAGGAGGCCTCAGACAGCCTCCCCCAAGATGGCAGCGCAGGCTGGGGAGGGGACGGGGACAGCCTCACCCCAAGGTCACAATGCCGCTGTGCCCTCGGCCCAGCACACACAAGGACAGGGCAGGACCGCAGGCAGGAAGAGGAAGCATCACACACAGGGTTAACTGTCTTTCTCAAGCTGCTTCTGGGGTACCCAGGCTGGCTGTGCCGTCTCCATGGTGACAGACATCCCAGGAAGCCCCGAGCAATCTGAGGGCTGAGCGACAGGTGTGGGCAGGCAGATGGGTTGTTTTAACCCAGAGCTGCTGCCAACACCAGCTCAAAGGGCTCCTGTTGGGCACAGCTGCCCGGAGCCCTGGGCCCAGGACGCTGCCGCACTGCCTCCCCGGGGGCAGGGCCCTGAGCCCCAGGTATCAGTCAGCCACCTACTCGTTCACTCAGCGGACGAGGCTGGCTCCAGGCCCGCAGCCATGCAGTTTCCCTGACTCCCTCTTTATACTCCGGACATACCGCCTGGGCCTCACAGCCCAGCAGATACACCTGCATCAGCCGGGGGCTGCTCCCGGAAGCTTCCGCTCTGTGAACTCAGCACCAATCAAAAGCCCCGGGACAGACCACAAGGCGGGCTCTGGACACTGGCAAGAGGACACAGCAGCAGGCTCTGAGCCTGACGGCCAGTCTTAAGAGGCAGAGTGTGCTGACTCTAGCCAGGCCTCCCTCCCAAACCCAGGGCCCCGCCTGGGCGACCTCAAGGCTGGACAGTCAGTGGCCCTGAGGCCCGTCCCCCGCATGACAGCCTCGGCCACTGACAGTCCAGGCTACTGTGGTCCTCAACCTGCCCCTCGGAGTCGCCCACAGCTTCCTGAGCCGCCCAGGCCACACCACAGAGCTGCCTGCGCCTCCTGAGGAGCCAGAACGGAGCCCTGGGGCGGCCTGGAAAGGCCCAGAACAGAGCCCTGGGGCGGCCTGGAAAGGCCCAGCCCAGGCCTTCCGTCTTTAACATGGCTTCCTCTCAGTCACTTCACAGGACAGACACACACCTGCCTGAGGCAGAACCTGGCTTTGCTGACAGTTCATGCATGGGTGGCCAATGCTCTTGTCCTGTAAGCTGAGGAGCTCTATCCTCCCTGCCCCTGCCCCAGCTCCCGGGCCCCTCCCTGCCCCAGCCCCTGTGCCCCTCCCTGCCCCAGCCCCTGTGCCCCTCCCTGCCCCTGCCCCAGCCCCTGTGCCCCTTCCTGCCCCTGTGCCCCTCCCTGTCCCTGCCCCAGCCCCTGTGCCCCTCCCTGCCCCTGCCCCTCCCTGTCCCTGCCCCTGTGCCCCTCCCTGCCCCTGTGCCCCTCCCTGCCCCTGTGCCCCTCCCTGTCCCTGCCCCAGCCCCTGTGCCCCTCCCTGCCCCTGTGCCCCTGTGCCCCTCCCTGCCCCTGCCCCAGCCCCTGTGCCCCTCCCTGTCCCTGCCCCAGCCCCTGTGCCCCTCCCTGCCCCTGCCCCAGCCCCTGTGCCCCTCCCTGCCCCTGCCCCAGCCCCTGTGCCCCTCCCTGCCCCTGCCCCTGCCCCTGTGCCCCTCCCTGTCCCTGCCCTAGCCCCTGTGCCCCCTTCTCTGAATTCACCATGGCTCTGAACACAAGCTGGGTCTCTCGAGCGGCTCTCCTGTCTGAGCACCCCAAGGTCACTTCTCTTGAAGTCTCGAAGCTGTGTGTGAGCAATGGCACTGCTGGCTCGTGTCATAACCCCAGCATCCCAAAGAAGAGGGACCTCAGGTCCCTCCCACCCATCCCTGCCCAGGCCCTCCTTCGGCCCTGTCTGTGTCCAGTGATGCTTGCCTCCACCCTGGCACACCAGTGCTGACCTGAGTAACTCCCCGTCGGTCCCTATGTGCAGGTGAGGTCCCAAACGGTATATATCCTTGGGACATGACCACTGAGGGGTTAAGGGAGAAGGAAGAGACCTGCAGAAGGGTGGATTGCTGTCCTGTGGTGAGCTGGGCTCATACACATGCACGCACACACACAATACACACATGCTCATGCACACACATGTACACACGAGTGCATGTACACATACACATGAGTGCATCCACACACGTGTGTGCACATGCACACATGCACATGAGTGCATCCACACACGTGTGTGCACATGCACACACACATACACATGAGTGCACCCACACACGTGTGTGCACATGCACACACACATACACATGAGTGCACCCACACACGTGTGTTCACATGCACACACATGAGTACATTGCACATGTGTGCACATGTACATTGCACATGCACACATGCACATGAGTGCATCCACATGTGTGTGCACATGCACATGCACACATGTACACAAGTGCATCCACACATGTGTGTGCATGCACACATACACACGAGTACATAGCACACGTGTGCGCACATGCATGTATACACACGAGTGCATCCACATGCATGTGCACATGCACATGCACACATATACATGAGTGCATCCACACACACAGTACATTGCACACATGTGTGCACATACACACACGAGTATATTGCATACATGTGTGCACATGCACACGTACACATACGTGCACTGTGCACATGTGTGTGCATGTATGTGCACTGCACACACACAGCACTGCCAGCTCCAGCCCAGTACAGAACAGGGGGGTGAGGAGGAGGTTGGAGACACAGGGACCCACGCTGCTCTGCTTCCACTTCCTGCAGACAGGCCCGGGCACTGCTGAAGCCTCAGCACCAGGCAGACCAGGCCCTGCCCTCCCTTCAAAACCACCCAAAGCACCCAGGAAGGACCCAGTGCCCGCTGGATCTCTTGCCCAGTCGGGGGTAGGAGCAGAGAGCAGGCCAAGGCGGCCAGAGCTGCGGGGGCCCTGGGGAGCCAGCCTGGAGGGGCAGCATGGCAGGGCCCAGGCCTCCCCATGTCCCCCGCCCTCAGGCAGGAGTGGGGTGCACTCGCAGGGAGGGGCGCCCGGAGCCAAAGGCCTGAGCACCTGCATGGAGGCAGGGGTGGGGAGGGGGCCTGCAGGCCTGGCCTGGGGGGCCGGGACAGGAGGGGTGCAGGGCCCCACCGCTCCACTCACCGGGGCCTGCTCACCCTTACTGCTCACCCCGGCCCCGCTCACCCCGGCCCCGCTCACCC